GCCCGACTCCGCGCCTGGGACGCCCCGTCTGCCCCAACTCGCGGCTCCGGCTCCCCGATTCCGCGGGAAAGGACCGGTGGCCCGGCGCCCAAGCAAACGACGGGCATAGTGCCAGGCACACGCTAGGGGATCATGCACCAAGGGGACTCGGTGTCCGAGCCCTCGAGTGGGGCAGTCCGAGAGCAGCGCACCGTGTAGCGGGCCCCGCAACCCAGGACTGGCCAGCTTCCGCCCCCGGCGGTCCCCGCCGTCGCGACAGCCTTAGGAATCCTCCTTAAAGGGGCGTGTTCCGCTATCGAGGGCACCCCGCACATCACACTTAGGGCCTTCGAAGGGAACATGAACATTGCGGAGTTATTGGAGGGAATCACTGTCCCTTTGGCCAGGTGGGCGCGTCCTTGGGGGCTCCTTCAAATTGGGTGAGCCATTTAAGGAACCACGCGGAGCCCCGAGAACTAGGGAAAGGCCACACTCAAGATGGCGCGGGGCTGTGCGAACGTGGCGTGACGTGGCTCTACAACCCACACAGGCCATTCCAAACTACGCTACGCTCTTCTTATCGCCACTGCACGTGGATGTTGAACTATGGAATCTGTTACATGGAAGAAAAGAGAATAGGTAGGAGGGTTCCACAAAAATATACCCGTGCCACACACAAAATGGCGACAGACACGGTCCATTACCGAGTGGCCAGAAGGGGGCGCCCGACGCGGAAGGCGGGACTCCCGAGAAACGAGTGCTCATTGGCTGAGAGTGGCGGGCGAACACAAAGTTGACGCTTTGCGCCCTACCATTGGCTAGTTCTGCCGTCTATCTAGTGGGGCCGCTGATGTGGGAATGGGGAAAACCCGGAGTTGGGCATCAAGGAGGGCGGGCGGGTGCCAAGTGTAGCAAAGCTTGAAGTCGAAGCCAGCGGAGCCTGAGTCGCCTTTCTCGGGTTTTTTGGGTCACGAACGAGCCTGCCATCCCACCGCGCGGCCCCTTGCGGGGCTTAGCACGAGCTCACCGGCGGGAAGGAGCAGCGCGGGGCAAGG